TTAGGTAGAAGTAGGTATAAGTAGATTAATTTTATAATATCTTTTAGAAAAGCTTCCTAATAGCTTTGAGGACATGGCTTTGATTTTACACATGTTTGTAAATGATTGATAGGTTAAAAAGTTGGCCAACAAGTTAACCACAATAGGTAACAAGTTACCTATGTGTCTTACAAAAGTCAACATGTATTGTAGATCCAATAGAATATCATCATGTAGCTCTTAGTTTGATAGTATATATAAAGACAAGAATAAATCCTTCTTTATTCTTATCAATGTCTTTCTTGTTCTTAGTTTAATTTCAAGAATCTATATTTTTTTTGTCTTTGACAATAGTCATTCTAGTCTTAGTACTATAACTCAAAAATATAAATATTTACTAAATATTCAACAATATGAATATAGTACTTAGTAGTATTTTTATTTAGGCCTTAAATTTTTGTAAACAAAATTAAAACATTGTTTTGTATGAAACCTTCTATAATTTCTTTGTACTAGAATATATTACCAATAATAGTATAAAATGCTTTTTTTCTTAGCAATGAACATAATAATTTATAAAAAATAATAATGGAATAACTTTAAGTTAAATTTTTTAGTTATAAAAGATAGAATTACTTATATTGATTGATTTTTAATATTTTTCTATTTAAAATGATATTTATATTTAATATATTCAATAATTTTTATGACATAAGACTAAAAAAAAGACTCAAATAATAAGACTAAGCAAAAGACTAAAGTTAAGACTAAACAAGAAACTAACTTATAAGCATCTAGTAACAAATTTAATAATAAAGCTTTTTTTTATTATAAGAAATATCTTTTTACAATGTTTTTATTTTATTTTATTATATATATATATTTATTTAATTAGATAATATTTAATTTAATATATTATATTTATTTATAAAAATATAAATTAATAATTTTAATGGCATATTAAAAATAAGAAACTTTAAAATTTATAAAATTAATTAAATAATATTAAAGATTATGTATAAAATATAAAAAAAAACTATTATAATTAATTTTTTAAAAAAATATTATATTTTATAATTAAAATAAAAATTATATTATTATATATAATAATAAATCAAATATAAAAAGTAATATTTTTAATTAGCTATAAATAAAATTAGTACATTATATATAATAATAAATTTATCAATAAAAAATTATATATATTATATAATAAAAAATTATTCTTTATATTTTTTATATTTATTTATTAAATATACATATAAATACCTATAAAATACGTGAATTTATTCAAATGTCTACAACCATCTTATACCACTTTACATGTAAATCTAATATTACTTTAATTGATTCTCTAAAATCTTATAATTTGATTCTTGTTCTTTAAAGTATGATTTTTTTTAGAATCTACCTTTTCATCCCTCAAATATAATTGATTTTTAGAAAAAAAATAAATTTGAAACAATCTTTTATTCACTCATATGTATTATATTTATCAAGAATAAATAATCTTTTAAAAATATTTATTTTTGGATATTTTTAATGCTACCACAATATTGGTATTGCCACCACAACTTGCTATCTACCACATACTACTAAAATCTGCAACCCACCATATATATTTTTAGTAAAAATTAGCTTAGAAATGCATTGAGCATGTAACTATAGAAGCATTTGATCTTACCTTAAAGTTGGAATAAAAGTGAAAAAAGAACAATGCCTAAGTATTTAGAAACACCTTGATAACCTTAAATAATCTAAACAAACTTATCACAATATATTTAACTTCAAATAAACCTTGAAGAATACTAACAAAAAATTCTTATTAAATTCAAAATAATAATAAAAAAAATCATTAAAAAAAATCAATAAAATAAATAAAATAAAATAAAAAAAGACTTGAAGAAATATTTAAAAAATTCTAAAAAAGTTATGAAGAAATGTTAAGAAAATATAAAAGAAATCCTAACAAATCTTAGTCAAACTCTAAGTAAGCACCACATTAGATTCCAAATTTTAATAAATATTACATTAATAGTCACGGATACATATATTTATTCTAATAATTCCCTAGATAATATAAATAGGTAGAAGTAGGTAAAAATAAATTAATTTAATAATATCTTATAGAAAAAATTTCTAGAAGCTACATAGATGTGATTTCATTTTTATACATATCTATAGGTAATTGATAGGTTGAAAACTTTGCTAACAAGTTAGCCACATATTGTATGTATTGGTACTACATAGTTAACTATGTAGTACACATTTATGAAACTTGTCTTGCAAATTAAGACACATGTTTCAAAAATTGGACATGTTTTAGAGGTCCTACAGAATGTCACTATATAGTTTCTAGTTAGATAGTATATTTAGTGGCAAGAATGAAGCTTTCTTCACTCTTTTCAATTTCTTTCTTACTTCTAATCTAATTTCAAGAGTCTTTAGTTTTCTAGTCTTTTGACAACAACCATTTTAGTTTCTTCTTGAATATACATACTTTCTTATTTCTATTTTATACATATCTCTCTTTGATACATATCTCACTTGTTTATGTATCTTCTTGGAGTTCTTGCTCTTAATATTAATTCTTAATCTTGATTCAATTTTCTTACATATCTTAAATTCCTATTTAAAAACAAGCACACAAAATTTTAATAAAATCTAACTTATAGATTGAGAGAAGTAATTCAAAAACTACTTGGATGTTAGCCATATTTTTTCTCTAATTTCAATATAAATTTTCTAGCTTAAATATCTCACTTTTTAATTATTAACTTATTCTCAAAATTTATTTAAATATAAATAGCTCAATCAACCATGAGCATACAAAAGAAAATTTCTAATCCAATTGGCAATTTGCTTGAAATTCTAGGAAATCCTCATTAACCTTCAAAACCCAATTTTTAAGAGCCTAACTTACTTAAACCTCAATTACTTTTGATTTAGCCATCCAATTGAATTCAAACTCACATCCTACAATTATTTCAACTACATTCACAAAGCCACAAAATTTCACATGTAGATCTACTACAAAACTTATACAATATACCAAAATGTAATCTTTTTTTTATTCAATACAAAACATAGACACCAAAAATAATTCAAACTTTGTAATACTCTCTAAAGTCAATATGCACTTAAATCCAATGCTCATAGAAACTCTATTACATCTTCTTTCAAAAACCACATTGCAATCAACAACTAAGAGCCCTATTCTCCATTGGTGTACAATTTTGTGCCTGAGGATCTGATTTTGACTCTTGTTCATAATTGACCCTCTATGGATATCAATTTAAGATTTATCTAATTAATTTTTCTTGATTTCTAGTCTTTATTTCTATCTAAAGATACCTATAATATTTTTTTGTTAATCTATCTTATTTTGCCTTGTTTATAGCTCTACAAAATAAGTAGAAGCCTTTTTTAAAAAAAAGTAGCATCAACACTTATTGGTTTTACTACCTCCTTAACTATTATCTATATTTATGAAATAATTTTTTATTATATTATAAAAAGAAGGTCTTCTATAATATTTTATTTTCTTCTTTCTTTTATCAAATAGTTGCATCACAGAACAATAACATTTTACACCACAAAATACTTTTCACAACCACTTGTGTTGTATCAATAGCTAATTATATCTGCCCTCCACTCTTTGTTAATTGTATTGTTGTATAATGTAAAATTCAATTAAAGATTATAGTAGGTATATAATTATAGAAGGATTTAAACTTATCTTAAAGTTAGATTTATAATCTAAAAACAATGCACAAGGTGTTTACAAATACCTTGGCTATCTTAAACAATCTAAGTAAGTTCCAAAATATTCTAAATACATCTCTTCTATCCTAAAAAAATCATTGATACATTGTATCAAACTCTAATTAATTCCAAAAAATCTCTAAAAAATATTTATTGAGCTCTAAGTAAATTCTAATTGACTCTTAAAAAAACTTAATTAAATCATGAGAAAATCTTAACTAAATCCTAAGTAAATTCTAATTTAATCTTAACAAATCTTAACAAAATTCTAAATAAACCTTGTTGAATCCTACCAATTACTACTAAAACCATAAAAAAAATCTTAATCACGCCTTAATCAATCATGTTCAAAATCACATAGAAGAAAAATACATACATAAACATATATCTATATCTATATATATATATATATTCATACACCTATTTTGGCATTGATGACAACTAAGCTTGTATTCATACTGTTGAAATAATCTATTGCTTTTTCATAAATTTGTTCAAAGTATTCAATCTTAATAGTAGATTAGTGTTGATTTGTATTGTTATCCAAGTTTTCCATTACATTATCTTCATTCTTGTAATTTGAATTTGCATTCATACATTCAATTTTGACCATTGCCTCTAGAAGTTTTTATTACCATGTAAATGCATGACTTCAATGTTCTGCACAAAATTCTCAATGAGCCACTTTTAACTGTGACAGTGAACATGCCAAGGATAAACTAATAGGTTGATAAACTGGTAACCTGCAAGTTCCAAGTTAAGCCTGAATTGACACTGGTTCATTCAATTCATTGCAAGCTTACCATCACTCCTACCTCACCAATGACACATTCATAACAAAAAGTACTGAATGGTTAGTAGAAATATTGCATTGTGGGTTTGGAGCTTTCCTGCGTTCTTTGGAAATGATGTAACAGCAGCAGCTTGCACTGATTAGTGCTGATAATGAAGAGATATCTGTAGCCTAAGTACAAGTAACTTGAAATCCAATAAAGTATTCCTTCTCTCATCTGATCAAAGACTCCACGTACCAGAATCGATCAGATTTTAAATGTTGAGAAGGCAAACAGAAAAGTACGTAAAGCTACAGTTGTAAAGACAGAACAAAGAAGTCGACTCGACAGTGCAGAGGGCAATTGTTTGATTGGGCAAAGGGTTAAGTATGAAACCTTGAAACGTAAAAAAGAGTGAAAACTAATAACAATGACAGATACTTGAAACTGAACTTGAGCATGATTGTGATCGAAAGAAAAATATATTTGAATATATAAATAATATTTAAGTATGCCTTTTCTACACAGTTAAAATCCCACTGTTATGCTCACCCAATGAGTTTCACGACGCCAACGCAACAGCCAATTTATACAAGTCGACTGAGATTAATGAAGTTTCCTAGGTAAGTGAACAGATAACAACCAGAGAGATGATTTCTCAAGCTGCCAAGCAGCATGCTGTACAGCTCAGAGCCTTGTCAAACTGAAAGCAATGAAATTGGGATTTTAGTTCCCATCCACAGTGCAGGTTTACAGAGAACGACTGGTGTGACTATTTTCCACCGGTGGCTGGTATAATTCATGCAAGGTGTCGCAAGAAGTTGGTGATCACAGAAACACGTTTCATCAGCGAGGAAGTAGGGGAACTACTGAATTGTAGTGCTCTCCTAACCCAAATGCATGTCTATGGTAAGAAATTCTGAGTTTCAGATCCGCGTTCGTGTACTCCGTACCCATTTCTACATCAGGTCCATTGGCTGAATACACAACTATATGTTTCTTCAAAGCTTGAGCCAAAGCTCCCAGCTCCAGCTGACCGCCCCAAGACGCAGTTGCTTCGACCTCCCTGGAAATTCACGCAATGGATGGTTAAGGTAAGAAATTGATCCAAGAAACAGAAAGGTAGTAAATTGGCAAGTAGATGGTTAAGCGTGGTGCCTTCACCTGCAATAAGTTTCAAACTTGGACTGTGGATCATTGCCCTCAATCTCCCGTTCCAGGTCTCCACCAATAAAAGGAAGAAAATCTTCGGGGTGAGATCGCATAAATGAAGCAGCCAGCTCCCGAAGTTGCTGGTACGACAGTAATGGGCATGCATTGGGATGGAGAGCAAGCTGATCCTCGACTGCACGGTATAGGCAGTGACCATCAGGCTTAATCTCTTTCAGGCCAAGGCCAATAGGATTAAGCTTGTTAGTCAGCTGTTGATCCTCAACTTCACGTTCATTGACCAGGTTACTTTGCTCCTCTTGAATCCTTTGTTGCCGTTGAGCTTCTTGTTGGGCACGCTTCTCTCGGAATTTTTGACCCTTGGAAGGCCTCCCTGGGTGATCTGGGGCTCCACTGGTGGTCACCCCTGCAATAGCCTTCACCAAAGTGTCTATACTGGCAACCTGCTCCTTTTCATCACCTTGAAAACCCATAGAAGCGAGCTCCTTGGCTTGGCGAGCCTTCATCACAGCATCTAACTTGACTATCTGAGTTCATGCCCAACATAGAATTTAATCCTTGAAGACCAAAATACAATTGTTTTTTTTTTTTCTTTTCAAAATATAATCTCTTGCAACGGTCAAGCAAGCCATTATTTCTGGGACTCGATAAAATCCAATGTAGCGCATCACATACGTAGGTCCCGAATGGTGATACTACTCACGTCTTCAGATACAACACGTATATTCAGAAGAATAAAGTACTCTGGACTGATATGCACAGAAAAACATTCGAGTATTACAGCCACTGAAAACATGTGTGCTAAAATATGATTGAACACAGATCATTGTACTCCTAATTATTCTTGCATCACATAACCATGCCACTAGATTAAGCTTCTCACCTCATCTTCGGCAGCTTTCTTCTTGGCCTTTTGCTCGGCCTTGCTACCTTTAGCAGCTGCCTTCTTCAACGCTATCTCCTTACCTTGCAACTCTTTGATCTCTTTCCTAAAAAAATCAGGATATCATTGATCTCATCAGCCCTGCTAACAGTAGTAGCCTTTTACGTAAAGCACCGCACTACGACAGCTACTGCAACCAACCCAATTTATTCTCAACTTTTGCAGAGCAATTGAGGAACCAAGAGGCAACCATCCCCAATCCTCACCCTCCCCCCAAACCGCAACAATCAATACGATCCACCCTGAACACCTCGTTCCCCAAAATCAAGTGAAAAAACTCCGAACACGATGCCATCACCAAACCCTCAACCGATAAACAAAAAACAGAAATCCACATTGAATCGAAAAATATGCTCAATCGTTCTAAACCTAATCGATTCAGGCCCCTCTAAGCTACACCAAAGCACAACCAGTGTAAAAAAATCGCTATCGAAAAACTAAACGTACTGATGACGAGAAAGCATCTCAGCGCGCGTTTCCTTGAGCTTGGCCTTAGACTTGGCATCTTCGTCACTCACGTGACCCACGTCTGCATTAGAAGCATTCATGGTAGGCTCTGCGATATGCAAATCGCAAGGCGCTTAAGGCAGACTTAGTGTAGAATCAGAATGACAAGGAGTATACGAAAGTTGACCGAAAGTAAGCAGAAATTAGGGCAAATTTGAAAAGAAAGACCTGGCCGGAACGCCCCTCAGAAACGCGTCTGACCGCTTTTCCTACTGCCACGGACCCACCTGGCCTACCACCGCGACCAGCGCTTTCACGCCTGTGCTGTTCCCATATCTCCACTGTCGCAGCCTCATAAGTATCATTCCGATAGCTCGCTTCTCGTGGAGGTATCTCCTGCGCATATTATGTCGCAGTGCTAAGTGAGGTTAAAACCGCCTAGCAATGACCAGCGTTTTCAAATTCGTGGGCAGAGGGTTGCAGATGAGAATTTAGGTCGCCTGTGATTTTAACGTTCGCCGAATAGAACTAAGATGGACGCCCAATTCCAGGATGGTAAATGGAAAGCAATGAAGCGTTTGAATCGGCAAATATTTTGTAGTATTGCAAGATGTTGCATATGACAGTTGCGGAATGCTATAAATAAGTGGCATGGTAAATTGTTTATCAAATTGATGGTCTCGTGGTTTGGGTTTTCATGAGTTCACAATCGTTTATCAGTGATAAGTTTCCATACCGTCTGTTTACCCACTTGGTCAATACTCATGCTATACTGCGGTGGCCAAACAAGCGAATGTACATCTGTTAGTCTCTAGCGTTTACTTAGCAACCCTAAAGTTCTTTGCGTAACTGAGCTACAGGACTCTTGACAATGCATCACCATTCCCATGCCAGCATGTTGATGACGGATTGGTTAAGCTGGTTGTTGCCATTGACGCAGCTTGTGATTCCAACTCGCATTGCATGACATCACATGACTCCTATTTTCTCTCTGCATTATCTATTTCGTTGTTTCTACGTATACAATGTCTCGTGCTTTTCTGCTGTAATCACTGATACAGTTGTCTTCTTTCCTGTCCTCGACTCAGAGAGAGAGAGAGACCATCAAATTTCGCCGTGACGTGGGTGAAGGCGCACTAGATTTTTGAATTGACCTCATAACAAGCCATGTCCTCGGCACGAGTTGGAATCTCATGAAACTATGGCTAGTGTTTGACTCTTACAGAAATTCATGAATCAAGACAAATGTACACAGATGTGACAGTTGAGGCAAATGTGACAGTTTGGGTAAAAGCCGCGGTAGTGGCAACTTTGGGAGGTACCCAAGCGAAATGGCAATGAGAGAGTGAGCGATGTCAAACAGGGCTGGATTGTCATTGAAGACTGTGCAGCCGAGGATGAAAACTATGCCTTGAAGCAGTTTTTGAAAGGAGGCTTTGGCTTCGATGAGAAGTGGTCAACATCACGAATCTGCTCGACTTGCTGCAGTGTAGATAGGTTCGATCCCTTTTCATGAGCAGAAGCTCTCATCTGCTCAGCCTTCTTCCTTGCAAGAGCTATCCGGTTAGACATCTTCTCGTGAGCTCGTATCCGCATCTTCTCAAGCTTCATCTGGAAATAGAAAATTAAGATAGCGAATGACAAGGCAAATCAGGGAAGGTCAAAACTTTCCATGATGCGTTCTGGAATGACGCAGCGATCATTTTCAACGCAGAAATGATGCTAAAAAAACGGAATGAATCTGTATAAAAAGTCACCAACCTCTAATTTCTGCATCTCTGCTTCAGCCTTAGCCATCTGGAGCTCTTCCCAAGCCTTGATTCTGGCTTCCTCTTTATCGAACCTGATCAACAAACTTCAAATCAGGCTATGTCGTGTCAATGATGTATCCCAAAATTTAATTGCACATTGCTGCAAATCAATTGACCTTCTAACAAGAACATGCATACAATTCTATTTTCTTGGTCTGCTTGGCTGATTCTTCCTGCGCTGCCGCAAAATCAATGTCGAATTCTCTGTCTAATACCCCTGAATCATTATCCCTCAAACTCACGGAGCACTCCACATCCTCCTCCTGCTGAGTGCTCCAAACAATGACGTTTCTGTCTTTGCCTCCCAGTTTGCAGAGTTCCAATTTCGCTAAATGGCATGTGCGAAGCTCCAGCACTCCAAGTCCAGCAGAGGTCGACCCAAACGAAGCTGGCCGCCTGCCTGGCCGAGCCGGCGTGTTGTGTCGTGAAGGTGAAGTAGCACATGCCGAAGTTGTGCATGTTGAGCTTTTCTGGCTCCTGGTTGAAGATGTTCTCCCAACGAACTTCCAGCTACCACCGGAGGTTGTAAAAACATCGGCAGCAATCGGAGTTCCCAATTGATGCGAGCCCAATCCCTCCATCGATTCCGTAAGTGTGTGCTTTAGAATCTCCACATCCGCAGAGTTATCTGAACGGGCAATTCAAATGTCTCATCAAAATAACTTCCTTGCGAATAATGGATCAATATCAAGAGGTAACATAGAAAGCCCAATCTGCAATAGCATTGCAAAAAGGTCTACGCATTGCACAAGCCAGAGTCGCACCTGAACATTTTGCGGCTTCAAGCATCTTCGATTTGTCTTGTCGAAGAGATTCCGAGATGACGCATTCTCTTGATTGTGCCGACGCAGTCTGATTGGGTGATCGATGTCTCCTGTTGAGCTCGGCGACTCCATCACTTTGAGTTTCGTGGCTTCTGACTCCATTTTTGGAGGACACTTCCACATCTTCCGCATGTTCATTGGATTTCGGAAGGCAACTGGTCATCTGGTATTCATCGGAACGAGAAATGTCGAAGACTCGTTTTGATAGATCGCCGAAGGAAAGAGTCTTTGATCGCCTCTTTTGCAAATCACATCTCGTCAAGCTTCCGGCATTTGTATTCGTATTCTTCAGTGTCGGAGACGATGGGTTTCTCTCAGACGTTGTTGCTAAAACTTCTAGACTATCAGGTCCAACGTGAGGCCTGAGACAATGACCCCCATTAAAATGCCTTCTTCCTATCAAAAATCATGGAAAGACGTCAGCAATCAGTAACCCATAACAACAATGAGACCACTCATGAAAAGAGAGTGGCGCGCTTGCAAAAAGCTTCGCTAGGAGGGGTCATCACGCCTCAAGCACCAAGGAAAGCCTCCTGTGAGTTCAAGAGATGCTTGCACCGATGCTTACCTGATGAGAGAGCTTGTGTAGGTCGATGAAGAAGAGGTTGAGGTGACGCCAATTCGTGATTACTACGACTGGAGATCCATTTCTCTGCATCATCCCACTTCGAAGGTGGAGGTCGGGGACAAACTCCTCCATGAAGAGGGCTCGACAACAACCTGTGCTGAAAAGACTTGCCTCTACTCGAATGCTCCACCAAGCTCGCAGCGCTGTATGATACAATGCCCATCTCAACTCCAGGGCTTTCGAATGAAATAAGATTTCCCAAAGGACTTCCTGATTGCGATTGACAACCTGAAAAGACCCGGGCCGGAGTTCCAGGATGATCAACATGCCCACGAGCTGTCAATCTTTCTCTGTTCTTTTCATGACAGATTCTCGGGACAGAAAGATTCTGTGGTAGGATGGCATTGCGAAAGCTTGACCGTGAGCTCTCTGACGTGATTTGATTGTCTGCAGCGGGAATGGACGTAGCATCGTGCACTGTGGCAAGGTCACTTGACGTTACCGCCTGATGTGGCCCTTTGTTGCGCTGAATTTGGTACTTATCCACAACGGCAGGAAGCGATGCAACTGTTTGGCATGGCTTGTTGTGAGAATTCTCTTCTCCTGTGCTAATATTGGCTCTTGTAGCTTTTAATGCTAGCGGTTGGGTCTCCAGCAGTGGCTCCAACGATCCAGAGATGGCACAAACCTGAAAACAAGCGCGCAACTCAGAAGTATTCATAGTTGTGCTGATTCCTATGTGGGTGGCAGTGACAAAGTTTGAATGCGATTCGTCAATGAAGGTCCTAAACTGGTACCGAGAAAACCATTTGAACGATGACAGACCTTGTTGAAGTTACGAGTTGATTCTAGTAGTGTCTCCCCGTCGCTCCGTTCTCTTTCCAATATTGCGTAACCTCGGTCAAGGCGAGGTTGCGGCAACTTGACAGAAGTTGCGTCCGACTGAGGACGACAGTCCATGATACTTGATGAGGATGATGCTGGGCTGATAAAGCGGACGTCTGCAATAACAGATTTGGGGCTCGCATTACCCTCAATCTTTCTACGAGGCGCAATCTCTGACTGCCGACAACCATACCGTGAAGTGTCAATAGCTCCATTAGGTAGAAGTGAGCGAGCGCCCATTCTGCTGTATGTTTTTTGTCAATGATGTCGTCTTTCTTCAAAAAGAAAAACGCTCAAAGTGATTTCAATGTTCTTTCCAGCTAGCAACCACAATCATGCCATCTCTCCTCTTATAATTCACAGTCAAACACTTCACTTTCTCAGTCTCTCTCCTTGGTACCCATCGTTCTTCCGTTTTGCCAACGCCACCAGTGCATCACCTCTCACAGAGATCGGTATCACATGGAGGTGAATCTAACAACCAATACACTAAAACCTCTACCCCCAATGTGCGAATTCACTAAATGCCTTTCCGTATCTCGAAGAGCCTCAAAACACTCGCAAACTTCCACCTACCTCTGTACATCTCTATTGTGAAGAAAAAAACAGAGGAAAAATTCACTGATTGCGTGAAGCTGGCGACAAGAGGGAACAGCCACACTCTCGGCAATTAAGATGGACATGAGCTCAGGGGACAACTCACGAGCTCCAGGAGTGAAGTGTGGTTTGAAGCCCACGGAGTAGCGATTATCACCACCACCTCACTGGTGGTGACGTTGGATGGTGAAGCAAAGCGAACCTCGCAAGAGCAGGTGCACATTGGGAAAGCCTTTTAGTAACCACATGCATAATGCTCACGACGCGGGTGCAGCTCCCAGCTCATCATGGCACACGCATTGACCAGAGGAAAGCAATGTCAGTGTCCCTCTCCCCCCCTACCCCCCCAGGAATTGTCGCATCTATCAAGAGCCTCTCTGACGCCGCGGTACGACGCACTGCAACCAGATTCGAAGCAGATTCGAACCATCTCCATGCAACTGTTTCATCGACGAGCTCCCACAGCTCGATGATTTCACTTCACCCACGTTAACCCTTCACGTAATCCCACCCCTCAATCTACAAACCCATTTAGAGGGTTCGTGTAGATTCTGTCCGAAATGGCACGGATACGTGGTGCTACTGCAGCGGGTGCGAAGGTTGTTACGCACACTTGAAGTCTTCAGAATGTGTTGCCTGCGGATGAAAATTTCGCAGAGGTTTTATGAGTGGAGCGCAGTGAATGGCAGGGATGAAGGAGGAATCTCTTACCCCTGGTTTTGTTGTTTTTATTATTTGGGGTGCTAGTGCTGGTGCTGCCATGCCCATGTCATGTGTCCTCTGCTGGGTTGTGGCCAGCAGGTGATCACCGTGGCGATTGGTTTCGCGAGGGAGAGGGGACGCAGTTAAGTGAAAGACTTCGTTGTTTTGTCGCACTGCCTTGTTTCGCATCTCGCGGAGTTATGGGTTGTGCACCAGCCGGCGACGCGCATGGCGCCATGGGCATTCAACCTATCCCATCCGACAGTCAAAACTCGGGGTGCCCACTCTCCTGCTGACGATCGCCATCGCCCAGATCGGAATCCTAATCACCGAAACCCTAAAATGTTGAACCCCCAAAACTGGAGTTTTTAGGGTTGCAAGCTCTGGTGTATGTGTATATATATGTTTTTATTGGATCAAAAACATCTTGTCTTGTAAGTGAATTTCGTTGATATTTTGTATAGGACAAAATAAGCCCTAAACCCTAGAGGTTCAATCTTGGGACATCAAAGAAACCTAGCATCATACTTATTATGTCCATTAAAGTTAATACTACACATTTCTCCTTTTAAATTTTAGACCTCATATTTAAGGAGTTTTCTTGCTTACTTATTGCCTCTTTAGAAGGCAATAATTTCATTACAAGCAAGAAACAAAAATCCTTATTAACACCAATTTTGTCAAAACAAATATTATGTAAAAAATACACAAATATGTTTAATACATGTTTTTTTAAAAAAAATTATTAACTTATTTGACCAAAAAACTAAGTGTTAAATCATGTTTTTTTTTTTTTTTTTGGCTTTGTCTTTTGTTATGTACTTGGCTTTAATATCTTCTCAATATTTCAATGATGGATATATTATCAACTACATACTCATTTACAACTCAAATTGTATTTTTAATGTTGAAACTTAAGTTTTCATATTCAATTCTACTTAAGAGTTAACTTGCTCATTTTCAACTACTACTATTTATAAAGAAAGGTTTATAAAATGTTCATATTTGTATCTTTTATGATTTTTTTTTCCTATAGTGAATAATTTCTAAATAAAGATAAAATTCCTTAGCCAAATAGTACATATTTGCAATTTAATGCTAGCTTTTAATTGTTCTCTTTAAAAAAAATAACTAAAAGATTCATCTTTAGAGATAATTTTTATTTCAAAGTTTGGAATTAGTTTCTTGTCATTTTCTAGAAAAAAGATATATATATATATATATATATATATATATATATATATATATATATTCATTTGTTGGTGGTATTTTTAATTGTGGTTTAGAAAAAATCATTTTATTGTATTTAAATTCATTTTATTGCTTGTATTTGAGTGACTTTAAAAATTAATATCATATTATTTTTAATTCTTTTTGGTTTAATTATAAAAAATTAGATTTATATTATAACACCTAGTTGGCCAAAAACTTATTAAAGTTTAGATCAAGAACCACACAATTATACTTTGTTTTTAAGTCATTCTATAACATAGCTCATATTTACTCTATATAATAAAATAAAAAGAGTAAATATGACCTATGAAACAAAGCTTACATACATATGCTTAGAAAGTGTTATTCAAAGGTGCTAAGTAAAAAGAATAAATAAACAACTTGTTTGGCATTAACAAAGTTTAAGACTTCATGTGTGAAGGACTTTAAAAGATGCTAAGAAGAAGTTACTATCATGGATATACATATTTATTTTAATAAAGTATCTATATGATAAGGTAGAAGTAGATAAAAGTAGATTAATTTCGTAATTTCTACACAAAAATTTTAAAAGCTCTATAGACGTGGCTTTGACTTTATATATGTTTATAGATTAGAAACGTTGTCAACAAGCTAGCAAAATGTCATACATGTTTGTAGCTTGTGGAACAAGCTAACTATGTAGCATACATATAAAAAAACTTGCTTTGCAAGTTAAGACATGTATCTCAAAATTTGGACATGTATCGAAGTTCTAATAGAATGTCACCATGTGGCTCTTAGTTAGATAGTATATATGGAGGAAATAGTGAAGTCTTCTTCACTCTTATCAATGCCATTTTTGTTCTTAATATAGTTTCAAGAGACTATATTCTTCTTTTCTTTGGCAATAGCCATTCTAATCTTGATACTATATTACTTTTAGAGTGAATATTTATTCTTCTTGATTACAAAAGAGAGTTTTAAGATTCTACTTGTTTTTATTCATGTCCTTGATAATTTGATAAGATTGCTAATCCATTATTCTTATTTTATTTTAAAAGTGAGTAGATTATTCCACTTTTATTGGTATATTTTTGAAGGTTGTGGACCACCCACTTTTAAATTAACTTAAAGTATTCTAACAATGATTTATTTCTTAAAGAGGGAAAATTATCCCTCTATGTGAAAATTTTCATTTGATATTAGAAGTTGCAAATTGCCTTCCTTTATTCTAACTTTTTGAATTTGTTTGAATTGTCTATAGAAAGAAAAATTATGGATGCTATTCTCAGCAAAAACGAAAATAGATTTGCAACTATTGCAAATCTTCACAAGCCTCACAATACTTTTAAGATGGAAATTTCATGTATTTCTAATGTAAATCATGGAGATACTATTACCATACTTATAGAAGAAGTCAACAATGAAATTCAAAGCCTCCACCAAAAAGTTGTGAAATTAAGAAAAAAAAAGTAGATCAAATTTAAAATTAAATCTAAAAAGTCTTACTATTACAAGTATAAATGAGGTAAGGATAAGTATGCTCCAAAAGTTTGATGGTGAAAAATCAAAGTTTCAAGGATTTCTACAACAAGTAAAGCTCTATATAAGATTGAATCCTCTTCAATATCCTCATGGATTTATTCAAGTTAGATTTATAAGAACAATTTTCTCTAAAAGTGATCTTTTTTAATTTGCTTCTTTGATGGAAAAAGATTTAAGACTATTCTATGATTTAAATTTATTTTTAAATATATTTATAGCTATAATTAGAAAAAATAATCAAAAAAAGGTAGTAAAGACTAAGTTTTTATTTCTATAAGAAGAATCACATTCAATTGTCATATATGCTACTAAATTTTAAAACCTTATTTGCAATATGGATTCGAATGACAAAGCCCTTCTCAATCAATTTTGATATGGATTGAAAGATAATACCAAAGATTTATTATTGACAATTAATGCCAAAGATTTATTGGAGCAATTTATTGGTGAAGCTATTGCATGTGACAATCAACTCTTTGAAAGACATCAAGCACAAAGATTTGATTGGAGAGATAGTGTTCAAGTCATCGTGACACCTTCTAAGTTTTTAGAAGTTTATTCATCTAAGCAAGAGCCTATGCAAATTAACACAATATATTTTAAACTTCTTATTGAGCAAAAAAAGACTTGTCATCTTTAAGAAAGTTTATACCTATATTGTGGAAAATCCAAGCACATTGCTTAATGTTGTCTAAATAAGCAATGCAATCAAAAAATAACAAGCATGGTTCCTAAAGAAAACAATGAGTTGAAAAATAAGTTTCTCCAACTATAAAAAAGACTGTGCGGTTGGAATCTTAAGTAAAATCTAATAATAGTCATATTTTTCCTTCAAATCATTCCCTTTGTTTCCTAATAGAAGTTTTTTTAGAACCAAAAAATCCCAAAATTTTAGCCTTATTAGATTTAAGAGCTTGAGCTTGATTTATAGATGAAGACTTTTGTCAAAAAACAAGAAATATCTTTAATTAAGAAAATCAAACATATACATGTAGAAGTAATAGATGGTTGTTTGTTAACTTTTAGAATTCTTACAAATGAAATTATTTTTTTAGATGTAGCAACTAGTGGTCATAATACTTTAATAATATTTACTTTAATTAAATCTCTTTCTAATTTAATTATTTTAAGACTATTGTGATAAAAAAAATATAATCCTTAAATAGATTAGATTTCTCACAACCTTAATTTTTATTACAATTTAGCCTAAGATTCTCTTAGACAACTAAATATCCTTAAGAGTAATATATTCAAACTATTATTAATAGATACAAGTGCTTTCATACATGTTGCAAAAAAAGGATCAACTTTTATTATACATGACATGTGTATTATTGATAGAAAAAAGATTTTAAGTAGCTATGAGTATAAAATTTATTTTTAAATCCAATTACAAGTTGGCCTTAATTAAAATTTGCTTGTAATTGTTGGTATGAAATAGAAGTAAGAAGAACAAGAACAAAAGAAAAAAAATAAGAAAAACAAGTGAAATAAGTACAATCAAGCAATTGTACACTACAAAACTAATTACAAACTGTTTACTGAGTTTTAATCCAATAAAAAGTAAAAAATATATGTTTTTAAAATAATATTTTTATCTTTTCAATAATATAAAAAAATATAAATCTGAGTTATTATGAATAAGTTATAAAGGTCTAAAAATAACAAGTAAATAAATAAAAAGATAAGTAAATAAATATTACCTCAAAGATAACTTGTTTAAGTGATCAAGAGTTCAAGCCTTGCCAAGACTCACAAATAGGGTATATGGGTCTCTAAGAGAGGCCATGAGATCTTAGACTTATTTTCCTAACTACCTTCAAGGTACTA